CTGCGTGTCGGGTAGGAGGTGAATGAGTGAGTGCTGGGAAGCCGGGGAGTATTGCATGTCATCTAACACTAACATTCTTTAAGTAGGTCAAGTAGAGAAGTGATTCCCAGCCTTTTCCATAAACCTACTGATGTAATGCTGACCTACAAACAACAGCAGCTGCTGGGATCAGGGGTCTGGACCCCATCTTATCCCCTCCTTCCTCCTCCTGCTCCTCCTCTTTGTCCTCCTCTCCTTTTTAACTTTCCTTTCCTTTCCTTCAGTGAGTCTTAAATTCACCCACATGACATGACCTTAATCCTAACCTTGCTGCATGTCATTCCCCTTCTCTCTGTCCCTGCATTTCCTGTCTCTCCTCATCGTCCTGTCAATTAAACACATAAAAAATGCCCTAAAAAATAACTTTTTCCCATCTGCCAGCAATAATAGTCCCCTGGCAACTTGGAACAGTAGAGGAATTAGACATTAACTTCTTTACTCAGTAGAAATGGACATTAACATGATTCCAAGTGGTTAATATATACTGTATACAAAAGGCAAATGAGTATTGCTTCCCATCACAGCACTGCAGACGGAGCTTATGCAATTAGCTGACACAATTAGTACAGACATTCGAAGTCTGCACATCTTTGTGATCAGAGTCAAAGAATTCCCAACAATACTTGTGTGTGTGTGTGTGTGTGTGTGTGTGTGTTTGTGTTCATCACTATGAGTTACACATTTCACATCAGACATGTTCATTATATATTGCTTTGTGCAGCTTTAATATTGCCTCCCAGGCAGCTCTTCCTGTGTTCCTCCCCCAGCAAGATCAGCAGTTCCTTTTTTCTTTCAGAAAAATGTGAAAGTTGACAAAAACTTGAACTTGAGGCTTCACATGCTTTCATTTAATAAAATTAGAAATTTCTGTTCAAATTAAGCCCTGACCTCGGATGACTCTGTCCTCTTGTCACAGTTTTGCCAAATTGGATTGAATTTTTTTATCTATTTTTTCTTTATTTCACCAGAAAATTATTAAACACATCAACATGTGTGAGCGCACAGTTTTCTCCCCCGCAGCAGCGACTCCACATGACTGACTGACTGAATGGGCCCCTTCATGACTGTCTTTACCTGCTTCATTTCTTACTGTATCTGATTAGATTTTCTGAACTCCCATTGTTCTCCTGTATACCGAACAACAGCTCATCTGTGACTCTGACTAGGGTTCAAGTCTACTGTGTGAAGGTCATTATGGTGTATGGGGAATTCTGTGAGTGACAAGCCAGTCCATTGTATGTGAATTGTTCTAAATGTTCGGGCCTCGGTCTTGTGTTTCTTCTCCTGACAGCGGGACTGATTAGTGAAGCTGAGCAGACAGGGCTGGTAACCAAAACAGAGGAGGGGAGGTGGAAACACACAACGCAGTGCACCGACTCGCGAATCGTTGTGTACAAGAATCACACCCACATCTGGAGACATCTCTCCGTGTGTGTGTGTGTGTGTGTGTGTGTGTGTGTGTGTGTGTGTGTGTGTGAGCAAAAGTCGGCGAGTGTGAACAGGGGTTTAGTCAGAGCGAATGACAGTAAAGGTATGTGACAGTTTATATTTGTGTGTGTGTGTGTGTGTGTGTGTGTGGTTAGGACAAAGACTTATGTGTCTGTGCTTTGGTGAGGTTGCACAGAAGTCAGAGGGGTTGCTGGTTTAATTCCCTGTAGAGACATTGCCAAAGGTAGATGAGGGCACACAGGGTAACAGGGTGTGTGTGTGAGTGTGTGAGTGTGTGTGTTAGATATGTAGCTACCCACCCCTCCAGAGGGACCTCGCCCTTGTATTCAGTCATTTTTAATGACAAACACATTCTCTGCTTTTTAAAACACACACTCACACACACACACACACACACTCATATTCACAGACATGCATGTGCACACACACTCCATATGTTGCACATGCATTTGACAGTGATGCACAGCATTGTTTTATTTGGCCAAAATGAGAGTCAGATGTGTTGAACGAGTCTGATAAACAACCTGCAGCGAGCCAGCCGCTTCATCAGGCTGCATTACACCAAATCAGTGGAAAAGCCTGCAGATCTGACCTCTTGTTTCAAATTGAAGCAAGAGGATTTTTATGAAAATATTTCATCCCCTGGGTCCAAATGAGAATTTATTGTCTTCCGTGGGACCCAGGATTACATATTGCTAGCTTGTGTTCTTATGGGTCCTGCCAGCAGCAGGCCTGCAACCTATTTCGGGTCTCTACCCCTGGTTTAAGAAACCTGGTAGGGGAACACAAGAGACCAGAGGGCATTTAAATCTTCCATGACAAAGTCGGACCAACAACTGCCTCTCATCATATAAAACTGATGTAGCTCCGGATTCTGCATCTCCACCCTGATTTTAGTGAGTTTGACTCATCGCACATCATTTTCTTCAGAGGCTGTAAAAGAAACCTCCACAGAGAGGCCTCCGAACCTCCCAAATGAGCTTCATCTTTAATTAGTGTTTAGCACTTTTACAACTGGACTGTAACGCTATAAATTAAGAGTGTTGATGTAATAAAAAAAAAAAAGGTTTTCCTTCCCAGCTCATATGACTATTCCATACTTTCCATATGTAACTTGTCACAGCAGAGCTTGCTGCTTGTATAACTACAAGAGTGAAAGCTGTAATGTCTGTTTCATTTACCGCTGCATTGACCGATGTGACTTCCATGTTTTCCTCTCATGCAGCTGACACGAAGCTTCTCTGTAGCTGTGTCCCGATTCCCGAAGGATGTGGCCCTTCGTATCAGTCGTAGAGAGCGAAGGCCGAACCAAAGTGAGGCGGTCTGGTCTGTGCAGCTGTTACCGCCCTTACCGTTGTGTCGCAAAGCAAACAGCTCCTGTTAACTTTGGTTTTAACAGTTGTACCGTTAGCTGTTGAACTGAGCAGAACCCCAATACTTGATCCCAACCAGTCCCAAGATTCATTGGGATTGGTTGGGCCACAAAGGATCCACCCAGTGGCTCCTTTGCTGCACAGGGGAAAGGAAGTCCACGTTTCTTGGCTGCGTTTGAAGGAGCCTTCGAGGTGGGACGGTCTAGTCGCACTCGGTCTTCAAATGCAGCCTCCGAAGGATGCGGCCCCTGAACTGGGACACAGCTTAAATCTCACTTCACCAGTTTACCTTCCGTTGCCATCGTGTCCATCTTAGTGGCCACGTACTCCACAAGGTACCTTTAAGTCAAACTCTCCCAGTAGTGAACTTTTTAAAAATTCAGCAGAGGCCTTAAATGAGTCTAATAAACAACAGGTTCATCTCATACACCGGCTGTCATGTCTGAAATATGTTGCTACACTAGTTAATCGCTCATAGTTCTAGTTCAGCAGATTAAGTGTTACTTCCAACACAGAGCACCCAGAACTAAACAACAACTGTGGTATTGATCAACATCCCTATCACTCCCCCACCCCACCCGACCCCACCCACCCCCCAGATTATTACAGTCAGTTTTTGTGCAAGCAGCTTGTTCTCTTCAACAACTGCTTAATACGTTCTTCCTTAAGCAATCTCTCTCTCTCTCTCTCTCTCTCTCTCTCTCTCTCTCTCTCTCTCTCTCTCTCTCTCTCTCTCTCTCTCTCTCTCTCTCTCTCTCTCTCTCTCTCTCTCTCTCTCTCTCTCTCTATCTCTCTCTCACACACACACACACACAAAGGTTGACCTGGAGGGGAGGAAATTGAATTAGCAGGGTGTAATGCAGCTCCTTGTGTGTGTAATCAGAGCAGGCTCCGAATACAGGCCCATTGTAAGTCACTGTGGTCAGAACCCAGAGAGCCAGCGACCGCTGGGGGAAGCTGCCCTTATCACTAGATATGATTACAGCCCAGGGAATGTGTGTGTTTGTGTGTGTGTGTGTGTGTGTGTGTGTGTGTGTGTGTGTTTGTTTGTGTGTGTGTGGTGAGATTTGTGTGGGAGTCACTGGCTGACTGATTGCGTGGGGAATGTGTCTATATGCTTGTGATTGTGCACAAGTGTATATGACAGTATGTAAAACATGATGGTGGATGCAAAAGAAAAAAAGAAAAGAAAAGCTGAAAACACATTTTGCTTTTCTGCTAAAGTTTTGTCAAAAAGTGCAACATGTTTACTTTTTCCTGCAGAGACACAGCGATGCAGTTTGCAGTTTTTTTTTTTGCATCTAATGTTGCGGCTACAAAAATAACACCCACATCCATCACCACCAACTCCTCTGATCTTTCTGGATTTGGGGGTTTTTATATCCTGTGGTAACAACAAAAAAAATCCTTTTCTGGTCGTTGCTTCCACTATCATTGTTTGGCGCAGGCTGCAGGCTGTGTTTTCCACCGTCGATGTCATTGTTTTTCACTGTCTGTTAATTATTTTTGTGCTGGTATTTTGCCTCCTCCTGATATAGTGTTTCCTGCTATTGTCTTTTTCTACCAGGCTGGCTGCCTCTGGACCCGAGCCAGCCGGTCCCTCCTACCTTAAAATACACACACACACACACACACACACACACACACCCACACACACACACACACACACACACACTATAATACACACATCCATGACCATGCACACACACATACTCTTTTGCTCTCCCTTCCTCCTCTTGGCACATGAGAGAAAACACAAGAAGTCAGTGATACAGCAAACCAACTGTGTGTGTGTGTGTGTGTGTGTGTGTGAGAGGGAGGGAGGGAGAGAGTCCACCAGTCAGCTCAGAGGGGTTAATCTCTCTCTCTCTCTCTCTCTCTGTCTCTCTCTCCCTCTGCCTCTCTCTACCTCGATCTCTCCTTCCCTCCCTCTTGTTGCCTTTTGTTGCGGCCCCTCACTTTCTCAACAGTTGGACAGAGGGAACTGATACTGCGCCTGTGTATGTGTATGTGTGCGTGTGTGTGTGTGTGTATATGTGTATGTGTGTGCCGTTTGGGTGTCCTCCTCGGCGCTCTCGATCTCTCTGGACTGAACTGTACGTGAACATGACTGACGGGACTTTCTAACACACTGCTCATGCTGGATGTTCACACCGCAGACTGGTAAGCCAGCTCTCTGGTTGAGGGGAAAGTTGTCTGATTTCATGCGGGGTGCAGAGGGATGAGTGTGTGTGTGTGTGTGTGCGTGTGTGTGTGTGTGTCAGGGAGAGCATGTGGGAAATGCTGTCTGGAATGCAACAGGTCATTTGTAAATGTGGGTTTTGTTTCTCTGCTTCCATGAGCTCAAATGTCATGTTTTCAAGACGAGGAGACTTGTAAAGGTTTCTCTGTCCCTTTGCTGCCTTTCCTCCTTCCCTCCGCTCCCCGTTCCACTTCTTCTCCTTATCCCTCTCTCTTTCTCTCTCTCTCTCTCTCTCTCTCTCTCTCTCTCTCTCTCTGAGTTACTCAAGTTACCGGCTTCCTCCTGTTGTTGTGAGCCCCGTGGTTTCTCTGCAGCGCTCTGAGGGCGCTCCCACGCTCTCCCAAAGAGAAAGAAAGGAAGGAAAACAGCGATAACCATTCGAGAGCCACAAAAGAAGTGGGAGAAGCATGCCTGGTTTTGCCCCCACGTCTCTCCCCTTCAGCATCTACATGCCGCATGCCTTTGTCCCTTTAAACACCGAGCACCTTGGAAAAAAATGTGTCTCCCTACTGCATGTCTGCTTGGCTACTTTTTTTTTTTGTTTTCTGGACAAAGGTTTTTGTTTTGTTTTTTTTTTTTCTCCTTTCTTCCAAGGGTGGCTGAGTTGGTGAGAAAATTGGAAAGAGCCACCCACAGTGGAAGTGAGTCAGCCCAGCATTTAGTGGTGTGTTTGATTTTGGAAATGGCAGGGATTGGGGGGTGGGGGGGGGTGGGGACAGATGAAATTGTCAGAAGAAAAGAGGAAAAAACAGAGAGTGTCAAACTGTTCATGTTTTCTGCTGAGGGTCCCAGAATCGCTGCAAAGTGGAAGCTGAGTTGTGCAAGGGACACTAAAGGAAAGAAGAGGAGACAGACGTAGAGGAGGAGAGGAGAGGAGAGGAAAGGAGGGGAGAGGAGAGGA